AACATACATTTCCAGTCCGCCATTGGATGGTGGCGACAATATTTGTCATTATTAACCCCTGATATTATCAGAAGTAACACCATTCACTAATCTCAACTTCAAGCTTTTAGATCAATTAAGTTTAATTGACAAAGATGAGATCAATCCTTGATATCGTATCAATCACACAAAACACAAAAACTGCAAAGCATAAACTCGCAACAACGTCATAAGTGAATAAATCATTTATTGCATTGCTATGCGCATGAACATACATATACAGCTACATGAGTGACATATATGTGTAATGTAATGGGCGGGGCAGCGCACTGGCAAGCTGATATGGGATAGTCTATCCCCCACAAGCTTTATCACAGTGACATGGACACTCAGGTTTCCCTTGTCATATACCAGTGGTTAACAATGAGAAACTTGACAAGGCTGTCATTATTAACCCCTGCATATACCTATCTAAGTATCTTGTTCTGCACGAGTTGGTAAAGCCCAGCGACTAGGAAACTAGCAGTTTCGTTGCACTCGTGATGCTATCAATCCAGCAATAGTCGATCTAGCAAGCATATGCCTTGTCGTGCCAAACAACGCTTCATTTGCGCCTACAAAGCCACTTAGTTTACTAACATACATCGCTTTTCTTAAGCCTGGGTCCCGTTGTCAGAAACAAAATTAGTCTTAACATTAATCTTAACATTATCTTTACGATGTTTCTGACAACGGCCGCCAGATTTCCTCGTGATCAGCCGCGTGGTAGATTACACCATGCGGACGTGGGATCCAGTGGAATATGAGCGACTACAGCGACCTTGAACTAGAGGACGTCATGTTGATTCTGCTAGCATATCATCAGGAGTGTCATAATATGACATCTATATTATGATACTCCTCATATCATCAGGAGTGTCATAATATGACATCTATATTATGATACTCCTCATATCATCAGGAGTGTCATAATATTACATCTATATTATGATAATCCTCATATCATCAGGTGTGTCATAATATGACATCTATATTATGATACTCCTCATATCATCAGGAGTGTCATAATATGACATCTATATTATGATACTCCTCATATCATCAGGTGTGTCATAATATGACATCTATATTATGATTCTCATATCATCTCTAGTCGACTGTTAGATAGCCACCATGACAGGGCCGTAGCTAGCGGGGGCACGGAGCGAGTTGCTGTTATGCTTGGCAGTGCCAACGGCTACCAAACTTCCCATATTCAACCGCACAGAACACAACCCGGGCGTGCATTTACCCCTGCCCGACTGGGCCTGCATGCAATGTGTGCTCGCGTGTTCTGCTGATCGAGAAGAAACTATACGTCATCGCTGTCCGCACACCGTCATGAAATTACATACGTTTGGACCGCTCGCAAGCTTATATATTCTACATCATGAGCATGTCTATACAACTACAACGCATATATTGTACACAACTACAGAGCAAGTGTTATCATGATTATACAATGCTCCCACTAATACGATCATATGAACGCACGGGTAGAGTTAGTTGTTTCGACCATTTAGGACACTTGGACGGATATATACTCTCGCTTCTCGGTTTATTCAACGATGAGAAATCTTGGACGGAATTTTGGGACGGAAACATTCACTGCGTTAATTCGAGATTCACAAGCCTCGAGTGTACAACTGCTATACACTTCAATGAGATCAAAACCAACGCGCGAGCGATCGCAGACGTAGCGTGGAGAGCAAGTAACTCATCAGTCATTGGCAATGCACTTTGGGATCGGTTTGTATGTATTGTATTGTATTTGTATTGTATTTGTATTGTATTGTATTGTATTGTATTGTATTGTATTGTATTGTATTGTATTGTATTGTATTGTATATGACGTTTACGTTAGCTTAGGCTGTATGAAACACAGAGAATGCGAAAATTCGTCCAACTCGTCGACCAAAGGCGTTCTTTAGGTAAGTTCGGTAGATTTTACTTGCATGCCGGACCCATTGTTTCACACCATCTTTCCCACAGCAGAGCACTAAATATTCGTTACTGCCAACAACAATGATAAAGAATCGGTGGGTCCGGTACAAGTCAGCTTACCTCCGGGTCTTTTGTTCGACAGAGATAAAACGGATTTCGCATTCGCCTGAACACACCTAATAATGCAACCGAGGTACAGTAAATTAATGTAGTCTATGCAGCACACAATTGTATACAGGAGCACAAGGTAGTGCAGTCCTAACTAAGCATCACAGAGCAGTGTAATGTAAAACCAGGCATCGCAATACAGTGTAGTGTAAAACTAGGCATCGCAATACAGTGTAGTGTAAAACTAGGCATCGCAATACAGTGTAGTGTAAAACTAAAGCCATCGCAATACGAGTGTAGTGTAAAACTAGGCATCGCAATACAGTGTAGTGTAAAACAAGGCATCACAATACAGTGCAGGTTACAAGCTATCACAGGACAGTATGGCCTTAACGAGCCATCGTAACAGGCATCATTACTAAAATAAACGTGATGCACGGCAGATTGTCCCACAAAAAAATCTGAAAACGCAGACAATAAACAATTATTTATTGTTATAAATAAACCGCAGGTACACTCACTTTCACTACTGCATGTGCACGCAGCAGAGGTAAACAAATAAATAAAATATGACTATGTATTAAAGCAACACTCTTAGAAATTCTCAATGTTCTTACAGAACAGTGGCATTCACTGCACCACTCTGAAGATTTTCTCATATGCTTACAGACAGGTGAGAGCATTCATTGCCACCCTCTGAAGATGCCATATGTTCTTACAGAACAGTGAGCATTCATGCCACCACTCTGAAGATGCTCATATGTTCTTACAGAACAGTGAGCATTCATGTCACCACTCTGAAGATGCTCATATGTTCTTACAGAACAGCACGATACGGCCGATCGCTCGCACGATCACCAGAGATGCTCATATGTTCTTGAGGAAGAGCGCAGCGCCGCACTGCAGCCACTTGTTTTGGTTTCCTCCGCAGGGCACATCGAGCTTAGCGACAATTCGCTCGCGGTCACTGTTGAAGTAGATGGGCAGTGAGATGACATCCTCCGGCCGGTAGGGGTCAGGTGAACTCTGCAACAACATGGCCGACAATGAGCGATGACGCATCGGTGAACACCGGCGACATCTATTGGGCGCGATGACGACACGTAAAGTTGAAAATAGGCATAGACAATGGCACCTGTCCGGTTCAACTATGATGTGAGAGGTGGTTATAGGTAAAGACAGCTCTATTGGTACTGAAAACTTAGAGGTACAACCTCTGTCCACTGTCACACAACATGCAATGTAAGATAAACTGGCCCAGCATACACGTCTGATGTACTCTAACGAATGTCGCACTGCAATTTTAAGCCCGTGATCACCACAGACGCAAGTTGCACGCAAATGTGTGTGTGTGCACGTACTAGCATACGATACGTGCACGTATTCTCCTTATGTTGAATTTAGAATCGTGTGCGAATATTCGCAAGTGCTGGTATTGGCATGCAACACGTATGCGTGCGTGCGTGCAGAGATGGCTTAAACCATTCAGAGTTGTCGGCTCTGCACACGTACACCATGCCTGTTGTTATAGGTAAATAATAATAATAATAATAATAATAATAAACAATAATAGTAGCTGGTAGATAGGTATAAGCCTGTAGATAAATATAAGCCTGTAGTTAGGCCAAAACAAAATATATGTGTGGTTACCGTTACATGCCGGAAAAAAATAGGTACGTAGGGAAAACACTTTTATTGTTCTTTGAAATAATTTTATTACGAACCATGCTTCCTGAAGGATGTGCGTCTTGCCTTTTGAAGACCAGGAATCTGTCCAATTAATTTTTATTTTTTTATATATATTTTTTTTTACTTTAAAGAAAATTGACAATAAAATGTTTAGGGTCGCTGGGAATCAATAGGGTCGGTCGGGAAACCGTAACCACACCTAAATTTTGTTTTGGCCTTATGCAAGCCTGTAGTTAGATAAGTAGTGCGTACCTTGGGCATCCAGGCTACGAGGCACGGCGGTATGGCGGACACGCTGGCTGAATCTCGCTGATTCTCAGACAGACGGGCACCGTCGAACGTGCATCCCTCTAGCTGCAGTCCGCCGAGCGTGAGGGCGCTAGTAGCACCACCGATCTTACCCTGCCACGACGCGACAAACTTCAGGTTGTCCATCGATGTCTTCACCTCCCTGCGCACGGAAACAAGCCGACTCCGTCTAGTTATATATATATATATACACGCACGCACGCACGCACGGACGCACGCACGCACGCACGCACGCACGCACGGACGCACGCACGCACGGACGCACGGAAGCACGGACGCATGCACACACACACACACACACACACACACACACACACACACAC